AATAAGAACTCTCCTTTGTCTGAGGGACTTGTGAGGGTACGGACCAGAGTCCATCCAGCAGCTCCCTCCCTTCCCACCCCAAAAAATCAAAGTTTCCTCAAGGTAGCTTCCACCAGAAGTGATGGAAAAGAAAATAATAATAATAAAAAAAAAAAGCAGGGGACTCCCCCATCTCCTGCAATCCCACCTAAAGAGCCTCTTTGCTTTTCAACTTGGAATCTTTCTTCCACTTCATCCTCCGGTTTTGAAACCAGATTTTGATTTGTCTCTCGTTCAGGCAGAGGTTGTTGGCGATCTCAATGCGCCTCCGCCGGGTCAGGTATCTGTTAAAATGAAATTCTTTCTCTAGTTCCAGAGTTTGGTAGCGGGTGTAGCTGGTTCGGGAGCGTTTACCATCCGTTTCTGAGGGGGGAAAAAAAATAGAATAAAATAAAAGGGAAGACACCGCATGGAAAGCCAAAGAAATTCTGGATGGATTTTAAATTATTTTTATTTACTTTTTAAAAAAATATATAAAAGCCCGGTTACAAATTTAGAATATACGGAAGTTTGCTGGGGCTGTGAGCACGCAGTAGCTTGAAATCTTTCATTCTGCAACACCTTCAGCCCCCCCAAGGTGTGTCCCTCCCTTTCCTTTCTAAAGCCCAGATCAAACACATGTAGATGAGCCAGAAGTGAACCTGTTTCCTCTCGGACAATAAGGAAGTGTATAAAAGAGGGAAATATCTTGTCTTGGGCATCTTGTCCCCTTTTCCTCCCCGCTCAGTTCAGTCCTGGGAAGGTGGAGGGAGAAAATCTCTCCACCTTCGCTTCTGGTGTCATTTATTTATTTATTTATTTAAAAAGCTCACCCTCAAAGAACATGTGTATTTCAAGTTATTTTTACCCCCCCCTCCCCAAAAAAATGGAATATCGCCTTTTATACACGTTTTGTTTCTATGATCCAATTATGCTGTCATAAATTTGGGCGTATATAGCCTCTAAGCCTTTTAGTGGACAGTTTTACGAGCAATTGATGCCTTAGTCGTAAAATTTACGACCTCAGGTTTTTTATTATTTGCCCCGTATGGCCTATAAAAAAAAAAAACCAAGGGAAAAAAAACCCTCCAAAACCAAAAAAAAAAAAAAAGAAAAAAAAAAGAAGAGAAAGTTTTTACCATGGCTCATGTGTAGTTTGGTCATCCAGGGGTAAATTTGTGGAGGTGGTTGCTGCTGCTGCTGCTGCTGCTGAGGTTGGGGTCCTCCTGGTTGTGCCGCTTGCAGGGGCTCGGCTTTGATTTCCCCCGAGCTCTTGGATCTCTCCTCCAGCGGCGGGTTCACACTCTTCTGCCTGTAAATCC